CGATGTATGCAAATCTTTGATGTAAGTAATAATTTCCTTCCCGTATGGGGGCGAAATAAAAAGTGTAGAAAATGTATATACGGAAAGCCAACCAAATGGCAGATGAAACTTTGCGATTGTAAATTATGAGCGTGTGAATATTGCTTTTAGCATTGGCGAAAGTTCCGGCACTGATTTGCCAAATTCGCCAAACGTCAACGGATAAATAATGGGTGGTGGTGGGTTGGAATCTGTCATGGGTACAAAGCGAACCAAAACAGGAATTCAGTGGGCTAAATTATTAATGGCAATCGGTGCACTTTATTTTGGCAAATTATATTTGATTTTCCAAGTCGAAAATGCAGACCAATCTAATCATTCGTGGGAAATTATTGCCTTCAGAAATTTTGAAATTTACTATATACAGTATTTAAATTTTTTGATCACTTTGGCCTTGAGAAAAAGGATAATAGCTTAACATAATCCAATTAAAACGCTACCTGCGACTACCACCCGCTATTCTATTTAATTTTATGGAGTCAAATAAAAACTTTAATAACAATTAATTATTTGCATCGCCACCAACAAATATAAAGCGAGCAGAAGATGGATAGAAGTTGTTATAGAGTTTGCCATGAAAAGCATAACTTTTCTAGTGGCTCTTTCTATCAAATATACCAAGTTCGGCAATGTAAACTAAGTTATTCACAGTTGTTGTAGATTTTATTAGGAATAGAATACGTGAAAGTTTCACAACAAAATTCAAGCAAAGCAACTGCTATAAAATCAACCACTAACTGGTTTATTTCAAAGCTTTGGCTAATGTGTAATTGAAGAGCTACTCACAAAAGAAACGAAATTAATTAAAATCTTCCAAAAGGAAAAAAAAACTTACAATAGCTGCTTTTAGTCGGTGTAACACTGTAGAATAAACTAAAATGTTTTAATATAATTAAATAAAGTAATATATATAGAGAAAACAATTCTTAAGATAATATAAAAACAATGTAATTTATAACCTAATGAAAAGAAGAACAGGCGGTGTAAAAGTTTCAAAAAAAACTGAATATTTCTTAAGTGGACGAAAATAAATTATAAGTATTGAAATTATTATTATCGAAATTATATTTGTATTATCGAAATGTTTCTCTTTAAGTGTTTGCATCAGCTTTGCAAAACACGTTTTAAGAAATGTCGTTGAAACTATATATTTGTGTATACTTTTATATCGAACACAGCTGCACATAATAAAATAAAACAATAACATAAACCTTTCTACCCCAACGGAATGTACAGAGAGTTAAAAAATACGAGCTGACAAAGCGTAAACGATTAACGAATCCAGCTGGTTCAGATTTAGGCCACTTCCGGAATTCTAGGCTCTGGCCAATCGATTCCGCTGGCTTTAAGCCGAGCCGACTGGCTTTAAAATGCAATTTTGAAACAAACTGCGATCCACTCGAATGCGGGTTTGGTCGACTGCTGTTGTCCACCGCCCCCTGCCAGGACTCTCCCCCCCTACCACCCTCCCCCATCGCATTTCCTATCGCTAGTTTTGCCCCCCAAATGCCCCCCACTGGCGAAACCAAAACCACCATCTGCCCGTGGCTATTTTCGCACTCGCATAACTTTGACAGCATTTTTGCAGAATTACAATTAACTGCCTAGCCTCGAATGGGAAAGAGGGGGGCTGATGGTTAAAGGACGAGGCTGGCAGGACGAAAAACCAGGAGCAGCAGTTGCAGTTGCAGCCTAAAAGTACGCAACCACACTTGCAGGCAAACACTTGGTGTGTGTGTGTGTGTGTGTGAGCCGGAAAGTGATGACGACTTGGAATTTCTCAACAAGATATATACAAGATTTAAAGATTGTTGCAAGAAACCGAATTTTGCAGCTTTAACATTTTAATTTATTAATAACATTATTAACAACAATTCGACCTTTAGGTTTTTATGTTGTTCCTGTTTAATATTGATTAATAAAATAAATTAAAATTAAAATTAAATTTCAGGATATTCAAGTCCCTAAGTAACTACAATACAACAACAAGTAAAATCATACAAATATTAATATGTATTAGCCTAACAAACTAAAAAAAAATCTTGTTACCAAAAAAGAAAATGTAATGAGAATAATACAATTAAATATGCATTCCAATAATACCTCCTTATTGAATTTAGTTTTAGAGCGGAATAAAAATGAATTACCTTTTTGGGAAATCTGATTAAGCATCAGTATTGTCAACCCAATCCTGCTGTCCTTTGTTGTCCTTTTTGGCGGCATTGTTCAGTTCGATTTGTCATGTTTTTGAAATGGGTCGCCGGCATCACTGGCTGAGTGTGACTGTGTGTGTGTGTTTGTGTGTGTGTGTGGGCTTCAAGGAAAGGGAATGGGGAAATTTGTTCCATTTTACGCTTTCTACACAAAAACAATAAATCGCTCACAGCGTCAACTTTCCTAATGCAGCGGGTCGCTGGCTGTTGGCTGTTGGATGTTGAATGTTGGATGTTATATGCAGGATGTAGGATGTTGGCCGTGGAATGCTGGATGCTGGTTGCTGGTAGCTGGTCCTGATGGCGAAATGGTAAAATGGTGGATGCAACCGGCGAAACGCCACCAGGATGGCAGCAATTGAGGCTGAAGCCATTTTAACTGCCACTTGAATGGTAACTAAAAAAGAAGAAAGAAAAAATGGAAAATAAACTAAATATGTATGCATGTGTGCGTTTGTGTGGGTAAACGAGTCTTCGGGGGCTAAAACTGTAAATTGTAATTTTCAACTTTTAAGTGGCTGCTACGTGTGAGGCTTTCGCTCTCGCTCTCACTTTGGCCTCCCCCATCCCTTTGCCTTCTCCCTCTGACCATGATGGAAAATGGAAATGAAAATGAAAATGAGAATGAAAATGAAAGAGGTAGATCAACTAGATTTTCGCGCCCTCTTCAGTGCTGACAAATGGTTGCTTTGTTTGAAAGTCAGTCAGCACAGGATATTAAAAGTGTTGGGAAATGAAATCAGTACAATAGTGTTCAGGCAATCAAAAAATTGTGTTATCATCAGATTATTTTTACAATGGAATTCATCTCTTTAGTTACTAAGGAACAGGTAAAATTAAAAGCAGTTAGGCATCATAATATTTATACAATGCTTTATTAATCTAACCAGTTCCTTAAGACTACAAAGTTGAAGTTTTCTTTTCAGTATACCTATGTTAAGCTTATGAAAACAAATCATTCAAAATATTTCCAATTTGTTATGAATTTTGATACAAATATTTATTTTACGTACAATGATAAACTTAAATAATTAAAATAAACTTATTAAAAAAATATTTACTGTGATTTGCAACTTAACATTTTTTGAAATATCAGCAAATTAAAAACAAATTTGGGAATAGCTTGAAAACAAAACGAAAGGCTCTCCAATTTTTCAGTCCTGGCCAACACATTCCGGCTGAATGGGATCTGATTGAGTGGGTCAGTGGGCGGGAATGGCCAAGTGAAAGTGACTGTGAAGTAAACGTGATTGAAATATTATCTCTGACAAGAAATCGAAAGATATATTTAGCCCCAGCTGTGAGCCGGGTCACCGCCCCCACATTTCGCATCTCATCCGCAATCTCAACTGCCGCACAAAAGCGGGGATCTGGATGAGGATGTGGATGGGGATGGGGATGGTGATGTGGATGAGGTTGGGAATGGGGATGGCGATGTGTGTGTTGCCAATTCCATTCCTCAACGGGTTACCCACTCCGGCGTTAACCGTTACGTCGCCATCTTTCACCACACTATTCACCCCGTTTGGCACCCCCTTCCCCGCCCCGGCGTTATTTGCATTGAAATGTTGAGTAATTGGAAAACCAATCTGAAGCATCTGCAGTTCTTGTTTAGCATACCTCTGGCACCTTCCTAACCGACCTCGCCGACATTTGTCGGGCAACGCTCGATTTTTCAAACCGAAATCAACGTCGCAGTCACAAGACCGGAATGGAGAGCACGGCACGATGCAAAGGTACACTGACAGAAAGTGACACAAAAATGGGTCAACAAATCAAAAAAGGGGTCTTTGGAAAAAATATTAAATTATCATAAATAAATCAAGCCGTCAATCATCCGTTTACAATGCTAACTTAACCAGTGATCGAATGATAGACAGTGTAGAAAAACCTTGTTAGGAAACTTCAAAGCTGAAATTTGAGAGTTTTCAATATCAGAAATCTTGAACTTTAAAATTGTGACCGTTAACAGCTTATTAGCTCTTTTAGAGGCTTTCATGCTCGGTATAACTGTCCCACGTTGGGCGCCAAATTTTTTAAACCTTTTCTTCTTAAGAATGATGTTTGATTTTACTATTTTTTTCTTTTGGTGTACGGATTTGTTGGGTGAGTATGCAGTGGGTCGACAGGTTGTTTCGCTTGTGGCGCTTCACTTGCTAAAAATAAATTGTTTTTAAATAGCTGGCATCGCTCGACACGCCCGTCGGGTGTCTGCTACAGAAAGAGATTCCCCTTATTTACCCCATAGCCTGCGTTCCACTTGTATTTCACCGGCAACAGCAAAAGCAACAAAGGAAATGAACATGGGAAAAACAACAGAAGGCCAAAGGCTGACAAAAGCCAGCAATGAACGCGCTTCCGCTGGAAGCTTCCTCCCCGATTCCTGAACCTATTTGTTACCAATTTTGCAGAAATATATGTACCAGTTTCTATCTGCAACAATGAACATTACATTGTTTTGTCGCGGAAATCGTCTCAATATGGTGTTGAATTATTGAACACGATTTTGGAAATTCATATTTGTTGGCTTTTTCTTGTTATTTAGATTCGTACTGAACTAGGTAATTAAAATGATATTTTCGATTTTACACTGTTTAATACATGCTCACTTTTATTTATTGATTTACGATGATGACCAACTTGTTCAACCATTATATACATAATGGATTAAAAAAACACTTTCTCCACTTATATGTTTTTAATGTTTTATTTCCCACTATAAAAAGTATACAATATATACCACCAGACCGAAAATAAACCATCATCGATGAGTTTTTTCCATCTAGCAGGGTTTTCGGTTATAGCAATGGGGTTTCCCATGGGGATAACTAGTGCTAACCATATCACAAGGCTGTCCAGGAGTTCTGGTTGCACTAACTTCCCCACTACGATTACTTGGAGAGCTCGGTGTCCTTCGGATACTTCGATTACGGTTCGTAGTCCTCACTGGTTGCGGGGTCTGCGGCTGAGTTTGATTACCTACCGAGTTCTGGCTATATATAAGTTCATCGAATGGTCTATAGTTATCCATGGATCTGAAGCCGTGCAGAGAGGCCTCCTGATCGCGGCCTTCAAAGGAACTAGGGTCCGTCACCTCGAACTGCGGCATCGAAAGATCCTCGATCATGGGCTGCCCAGAGTTCTTTGCACTTTCACCTGTGTTGTTGAAAACGCGGGTCACTGCGGTTGTGGAGGTCTGAACCGTCACTTCCTTCACCACTTCTGAAGGTCCATTTGTATCTTTCATTATAGATGGAGCACTCTCATCGGCGAGCTGTTTGCTCACGTCTCGTTTCTGCTCCTGTCGCGGGGATTTTCCCTGATGCTTCTCCGTTCTCGTAGAGCTCGGCAATCCCGTCGAGCTGAAGAAGCCCGGCTGACTGTTATCCCCCACTTTCGAACGGGATCTGACCAGGAAAGGTTCCGTGATGTCCTCCAGATTCTCGCAGGGCATGGTCAACTGATGGCGACGCGGTTGGTAGGAGACATCCTCGAAGGTGGGCATTGTCTCATCCTCCAGACAACCGCCATTACCATTTTCCCAGAGAGGACTTCTGGAGCTCTGTTGCGGAGATGAACACGAACAGCTGGCTGACTTGTCTGTCTCATTCCGATGCGAATGATAGGAAGGAGCACTTTCATTGGTCAACATCTCGGACTGATGGGAAATGTCCGGCGGACGTCGTGCTACTGATTTAGAATCGTTTCTGGATAATGAATCATGGAGCGGCATGGAAACATCCTCCAAGCACTCGTTCGTCAACTGGGGCACACGTCTTGATGCCGTTCGACTGCTCGTGGCAAAACTGGGCGCACTCACGTCCTCGAGGCATTCCTCGGTGGTCGCAGGCACCAACAGCTGGCGGCGACGACCGAGTCCTCCGCTTACATTATCCTCTACACAGTTGTCGAACTGGGTTCGATTTGATAGTCCTGAGGGCATGCTTACGTCCTCCAGGCGAGCGCTGTCCATGGCTCCTTGGCCCCGTCGCGATGACCCAGAGACGCCGCCAAATGATGGCATAGTCATGTCCTCCAGGCACTCATTCGTCACCGACATTTGCGTTAGCCTGGGGCTTCTACCGCGTGAAGCTGCTAAGCCACCGGAATCAGTGGTCCTTTGCCTTCGACTGGTTCCTTCAGAAGTACCCCTTACGAAAGACGGTTCACTCACATCGTTCAAGCACTCACTTGGCATGGTCATTTGCCTTCTAGGTGAACCAAATACCTCTTCATATGATGGCATGGTCATATCATTCAAACATTCATTAGTCATCATTTCTTGTCTAGACCTTTGTCTTGGCGTGGGGCCTCTTTCTAAGAAGGAAGCTGCATTTCTTCCGTATAAAGGCATTGAAATGTTCTCAATACATTCATTGGTAGCAGTGCCAAACGAAGGCATGGTCATATCTTCCAAGCATTCTTTGGTCATCGCTTCATGAGATATTAGCACTTGTTTGGGGCTTCTTCCTCTAGAGGATCTCAAGTCTTCAAGATACTCGTTAGTAGAAAACCTACGACTTGAATTATCAAAGGATGGCATGGTCATATCATCTAGGCATTCATTGGTCATCACTCCTTGCCTAGACATTTGCATTGGTGTGTTGCTTCTTCCTCTGGATAATCCTGAATTGCCACCATACGAAGGCATTGAAACGTCCTCAAGACATTCATTGGTCACAAGTCCTCGACTTGCATTACCAAATGATGGCATGGTCATATCATCTAAGCATTCATTGGTCATCACTTCTTGCCTGGACATCTGCATTGGTGTGTTGCTTCTTCCTCTGGATAATCCTAAATTGCCACCATACGAAGGCATTGAAACGTCCTGAAGACATTCATTGGTAGCAAGTCCTCGACTAGCATTACCAAATGATGGCATTGTCATATCATCTAAGCATTCATTGGTTATCACTCCTTGCCTAGACATCTGCATTGGTGTGTTGCTTCTTCCTCTGGATAATCCTAAATTGCCACCATACGAAGGCATTGAAACGTCCTCAAGACATTCATTGGTAACATATCCTCGACTAGTATTTCCAAACGATGGCATGGTCATATCATCTAAGCACTCATTGGTCATCACTCCTTGCTTAGACATTTGCATTGGTGTGTTGCTTCTTCCTCTGGATAATCCTGAATTGCCACCATACGAAGGCATTGAAATGTCTTCAAGACATTCATTGGTAGCAAGTCCTCGACTTGCATTACCAAATGATGGCATAGTCATATCATCTAAGCGTTCATTGGTTAATCCTCCTTGCCTGGACATCTGCATTGGTGTGTTGCTTCTTCCTCTGGATAATCCTAAATTCCCACCATACGAAGGCATTGAAACGTCCTCAAGACATTCATTGGTAGCGAGTCCCCGACTTGCATTACCAAATGATGGCATGGTCATATCATCTAAGCACTCATTGGTCAGCACTATTTGTCTTGAGCTTTGCAGAGGTGTGTGGTTCCTTCCTCTGGACGATCCTGTATGCTCTCCATAATTAGGCATGGAGATGTCCTCAAGACATTCATTTATAGCTGGACTGCGAGTTGAAGTACCAAACGACGGCATGGTCATGTCATCCAAGCATTCATTGGTCATGGTTCCTTGTCTTGACCTTTGCATTGACGTGGAGCTTTTTGGTCTGAAGCTTCTCGAATTTTCTGCATACGATGGCATCGTTATGTCCTCAATACATTCATTGGTATTAAATCCACGACCTGAACTGGCAAATGAAGGTGCTGATATGCCACTTATGTTCTGAGTCTGTCTTCTGGGAGTCCTTCGAGTTAAAGACCGCGAAACTCCACCAAACGATGGCATTGTTTCATCATCCAAACATTCGCTAGTCAGGTATTCTCTTCCAGAGCTGGCAAACGTGGGTGCGGAAATGTCTTGAATATTTCTCGATGACATTGTTATTTGTCGTGGACTTCTAGCTCTTGATGTGCCCGATACTCCTCCAAAGGAGGGCATAGTCACATCCTCTAAGCATTCATTGGTTCTTACGGCGGATATATGTGGCATGGTTGCTTTCTGACGTCGTGAGGAACTCTTCCTTCTAGAAGTACCTGATTTCCCTCCAAACGAAGGCATTGTAACATCGTCTAGACATTCATTGGTGGCTTGACTTCTGCTTAAGTTCTTCTTACCTCGGAAACTCCGTCCGACGGATCTACTTCTTCCCAATGCAGGCTGGGTCAGATCTTCCATGCACTCACTTCTTCGTAAAATTCCAGGAACATCGTCAAAGGTGGGCATGCTTACGTTCTCAAGGCATTCGTTGGGTAAGCCACTGATTTGTCTTCTGGATGAACCAGAAACCCCTCCAAAGGACGGTGCTCTCATGTCCTCAAGACATTCGCTGGGCATGCTCAACTGTCTGCGTCTGGAGGCCATCGAAACACCACCGAACGATGGCATAGATATGTCCTCCAAGCACTCGTTTGTTTGTGGGTCCTGGGATGGCAATGTTTGCCTTCTACTGGCTCCTCGCGAGATGCTCCTTCCAAAAGATGGGGCACTGACATCGTTCAAGCACTCACTTGGCATGGTTAATTGTCTTCTGGATGAAACAGATACTCCACCAAGGGAAGGCATGGTCATGTCATCCAAACACTCGTTGGTCATCGAACGACGTCTTGAACTTGTATTTGGCGCTGGCAAAGATCTCTGCTGGCGCTTCGGAGTTCTGCCCCTGACTCCAGATGACACTCCTCCAAACGATGGCATCGATATGTCCTCCAAGCATTCATTATTGGTCGTATAACCTCGACTCGGGCTTGCAAATGACGGTGGCGATATATCACCGATATTTTGGGAGGGCATTGTCACCTGCCTTCGCCTGGGACTTTTTCTCATCGATGCTCTCGATATTCCTCCAAAAGATGGCATCGATATATCCTCCAAGCACTCATTTGTGTCGCCATATTTGGTGGAGTTTGCAAACAAAGGGGCAGATGTATCGCATACATTCTTGGATGGCATAGTCCTCTGCCGTCGACTTGTTCCTCGAGAACTGCTTCTGCCAAAGGAGGGTGCACTGACGTCATTTAGGCACTCACTTGGCAGGGTTATTTGCCTTCTGGAGGAACCTGACACTCCACCAAACGATGGCATGGTCATGTCATCCAAACACTCGTTCGTCATCCTCGATGGCATGGTCCTCTGTTGTCGATCAAGACTCCTGCCTCTAGAGGCTCCCGAAATTCCATCAAAAGAGGGCATTGTCATGTCCTCCAGACATTCGCTATTCTGTTGTCTTCTTGGTGTCCTTCGCCTAGAAGCTTCCGATACTCCACCGAAAGATGGCATGGTAATTTCCTCTAAGCATTCATTAGTCATGGGTTCACTTTTAAAACTGGCATATATGGGTTCGGAAATATCGTTTATGTTCTGCGTTGACTTCGATCTTCTCGGTTGGCGGCGACTTCTGTTCGATGACAAGCGGGATGTTCTTCCGAATGATGGCATGGTCATGTCATCCAGGCATTCATTGGTCATCTGACCTCGTCTCGAACTGGCGAAGGTTGGGGCAGATATATCGCTTATATTTCGCGTGTGCCTGGATCTCTGCGTTTCCCTTTTGGGAATTCGACTTGTGCTTCTGGAAACATTCGAGACCCCTTCAAATGAGGGCATTGTTATGTCCTCGAGGCATTCGTTGGTAGTTCTATTTCTGGTTGAGTTGACAAACGATGGCTCCGATATGTCGGCCAGATTCTGGAAAGGCATCGATACCTGATGCTGCCTTCTGGGACTCTGTCTACGAGATCTACTCCGCTCAAAAGAAGAGGGCTGACTCACATCCTCAAGGCATTCGCTTGGCATTGACTGCTGTCTTCGTGATCCTTCAGAGATGTACGACGGCATGGTCTCATTGTCCAAACAGGAACGATATGACTTACTCTGGCGCATCGAAGTCGGACCAAGGGATTCAAACTCGGGCATTGTCTCATTATCCAGAATCTCTGGACATTCGGTTGGCAGCGACGCCTCGTGATATGAGGGCATTGATTCATCCATCAGGTTCACAGATCGGTTCGGCAGGGCGAAGTTAAGACGACGTCCCGGTTCTTCGACTGCACCTGTGGGCGTGCAATCCAGAGAAGAGGTATTCGAAACCGTCGTCTCATCAACGTGGCTGGTGATGTGGCCACTTGGATCACGGTGGGTGTATATCGTGCGACGCGTGGTCTGTGCGATTAATTTATCGTTATAAGTCCCCTTTAAAATTAAACATCTTACCTGCTGATACAAGGGAGAGCTATCTGCCACCCCACAGTCATCCGATCGGCGGAGTTGATTCGACCGACTTAGCCGTTCCCTAATACTCCGAAAGCGATCCAGTATCTCCCCATACACATCGTCCACGTGGCTGGTGCCGTTGTTAGGCGAGGTGTTGGATACATCGCACATACTCGGAGCGGACACATCGGCCAGAAACTCTCCCCGCAAGTCGGACATCTGCGACGGCATACTAAGATCGAATCCAGGTGCGGACATATCCGCCAGGCACTCCTCCGGCAAATTGCTCAGGTTGATTGCCGTGTCATACGCTTGGCGACGTGGCTGTGCCTGGCGAAAGGTTTCCATAGCTGCTGCATCCGTTTCGTCTGTGGGTTAGTATGAACTGGCTTAGCGACAAAATGGAAAAACCCAATTGAATCACAGAATTTTTGAGAATTAAACCACATTCATGTTGAAGTATGCCGCTTTGTAATCGGATGTCTGTAGGAAAAGTTATGAGCTCGGAAGTGCAGGTTTTAGGTCACTTTTCTGCAAACCCATTTTTCGGAAATTTGGAAAGGGGTAACATCATTGGAAATGACGAAAAATCGGCCAAAAAATACAAATCAAACTGAAAACACAGTTTTTTAGAGAATTAAACCACAATCATTTTGAGGTATGCCACTTTGAAATCGGATGTCTGTAGGAAAAGTTATGAGCTCGGAAGTGCAGGTTTTAGGTCACTTTTCTGCAAACCCATTTTTCGGAAATTTGGAAAGGGGTAACATCATTGAAAATGACGAAAAATCGGCAAAAAAAAAGTGAAAACACAGTTCTTTAGAGAATTAAACCACAATCATTTTACAATATGCCACTTTGAAATCGGATGCCTAGATCGACTCGCCTGGTAGCACTGATCAAGAATAATAATATGATAATAACTACTTGCTGTCATAATTAGCATATTGTTAAATTTAGAATACTTACAGGTCATGTCCCTGAACATCCGTGGATGGCGCCATTCCTCATTGGCCGTCAGTCCGAAATCGCTTGGATCGTATCGATGGGTCCGGCCACGAAATCCGGGTCGCAGATGCTCCGGGGTGCTAACCAGATCGGGGCCCCGAATATTTCTACTGCTTCTGGAATAAAAATGTTTTCATAAAATGTACAGTAACGCATGCGGATGATTCAGTCACCTATCGATGCACTCCGCAGACCCATTTGGACCGAGTTGCCCCCTGTCCCTACTGTGAAAATCCATGAGTATACACACGCCTCCAATTCTAATTCTAATTCCACTTCCAATTCCAACTCACCTCATCCTCAAGCTCACCGCTAGTCGATTTGGTTTGGCATTCAGCCTGGTTGGGAATATCTAGTTCCGAATCGGGGGAAGAGTGTTCGAGAGGTGTCGTCTGCCTCAGGCTGTAGAAAATTGTGGGGAAATCAATAGGCCAGTAGGTCAGTGGCTGCTCCGATTCGTCGATGCCATCCCATTTCCATTCCCATTCCCACTTTCCTTTTCTGTTTTTTTTTTTGTGAGCGCAGACAGTCTGGCGAAGTGTGTCAAGCATCCGTGGCTCCATTTCTTATCCAATTAAACAATTATGAAGAGCTCATTAAGGCAGGTTGTTTGAGAAGCGCAGAGAGGGGCTTTTTTTTTATTTTTGACTTGACAGCCACTTCCGTTCGCTCTTTCCTTTTCTTTTTGAATAATCCAAAGCAAAGCAGATGCAATTAGCGGGTACATAGTTTTTTTTTTCCATTCGGTTCTCCTTCGGCTTCATTGGCTTTTGATTGTGCGGTGGTGAGAGGGGGAGAGTGGCTATCTATGGAGAACAGGAGATAGAATGCTAGGTGTTTGAGCTCAGCGCGCGAAGTCGTCACACGAAACCGCTTTCATTTCCGCCAAACACAATTGCATCATTAGCGATGCAATCTCCGTTACTTAACGTAACCGCAACATGCCGGAAATGAAATCTGAGGCAAGCCGCTGCTCCGCTCGCTAAACTTTTAGCCACGGTGAACGACTCGACAAGTGCGGCAGGCCGGGAAAGTGGGGAAACCAGTGGATTTTCCCTGGGAAAAAGCTGGCAAAGCCGTCGCCGGATAAAAGGGACGCTCGTCCGCCAAGCACAAGGAAATATGACGTCGCCATGTGGCATAGGAATAGTCAAAGGGGACTGGTACGATGGCGACGAAGGATGAAGGACGAAGGACGAAGGACGAAAAATCAAGGCAACCGGAAAGCGAACGGAATGTGGATGCTGCGCTGAAATAATCGAATGAAGCCAGGTCCTGCGGTGCGCCGCCATCTGAGTTCGGGTTTGTGGCCAGCTTGCGTCGAGGAGTTATTACGGCGAGCCGCTTCATTTAGCTGGGGTTTGAATGGAACCGGAGCTAAGGACATGGAGCAGGTCCTGCGGCGTTGGCCACCTGCAAATATTTGACTTACGCTTGGAAAAACCCACACATTCGAGGGCTGTTTCATCAGTAGTTAATGACGCGAAACAAGTGAGAAATATACCAAAGATACCTTTTTATATCAATCCATAAATTGGTTTTATTAATAAATTTTAGCATTTTACATTTTAAGTCAATTTTATACACCTAAACAAAAGGATAACAAGATTTTATTACCATTTGTTTTTATCATTTTCCACATATTGCTTGTGAGGATACTACTACTACATTCGTTTTGACATATTCAAAAACAAAGTAAAACAAATATTTCTTTATCTAAGGTAGTTTAACTATTGTAATTAAAACTTTTAGATATTTTCTAACAGAAGTAATGTTGATTAGATATTGTTAAAATGATTTCAACGTTTCATTTCAGTGTAATTATTTATATACAAAATAAATTAATAAATATTGATACTATTGATAGTTTTCCTAATTAAAATCTACTAATAAATATTAAGTCAATACTCATTAAGTTTATTGGAAACGTGAGCTATATGCAATTTTTTTATTTTTGTCTTGAATACTCATTTCGTAACCCAGAAAAGTGGGATAAAAAGGGAAAGGTCATGTTTGTTTCCAAAGTGCATATATTGTATAAATATAATATGGAATTTTTCAAATATAGCAAAACAATAATGAAACTAAACTTAGTTTTGGAGCGCCACTCGGACGGAGTTTGCGAGGGTGCAGTGCAGCAGCTAGCAATCAACTGCCGCTCCAGCAGCCGCGTATTTGCATATGGCCCGTACCCCTGCCACCTGCCCCCCTGTCCACCCTATCCACCCTGTCCATTCAGCCCCACCCACCTGACAAAATGCAAGAAGAAGCTACCGTGTTGTCACTTTTCGCACCGCTTTGTCCTGCATTAATGCGCATATTAAAATGGACGCAGGCGAAGGCGAAGGCATGCAAAACTAATGTCAGTCGTTGGCTTGGCCATAAGCCCAGAAACTTGATATTCATATGAGGGCAGCAGTGCACACAGAAAAATATATGGAAATAGATTAAAAAAAAGTGTTATTCTTTTTAAATATACAAATTTGCACTTCTCTTATACTACCAAATCAACACCAATAATGTAAGAAATAAACCAAATGGAATTAATTTAAATACCTACTAAAACTAGTACTGTAATTCTCGTAATTATGTATACGAAAGAGTATGCTGTTAAATATTAAGGTATACTATGATATGTACATATGGATATGCTTCTTTATAATATAAGAATTACTTATATTCAAGTAGAAGGTTATTTTAAAATACGAAATTATTCATATAATACCCAAAAATTAATTATTTAGTAGATAACATTTTTTTGTAAAATAAAAACCATATCATGTTTTCTCTGTGCTTGATTTCGAACTAGCAGGAGCAGGACCTGCACAAAAGGATTGCTGGCGACTGCCTCAAGGCTACAGACGGCTTTTCTCCCCCAAAGTTCGGCGAACGTTTAGCTTGCTTACTTTCCAATTTGTTGGCCAAGAAGGCGGATGGGGCTGTAAGCGTTTGGGGCCTTGGCAGATGTGCTTAACGGTTTCGGGGCACGGGCACATCATAATGCAGTGGAACGGCACCAAGGGGCGCCTCCATTTGGGACTCGGGAGGAGCTGGGTGGGGCAAGCATGGCCACACACGCGGTCACATGGGTAGCGATTAGCGCGAGTTTATCAAGGGCTCCTTTCTGCTCTCTGATTTCTGCTTTCGCCTTTCTCCTTTTGGCTTTATGCCCCATTGAAACCGCAAAGCCACAATCACCGCAGCTTCATCAAAGATACATTATGTGTGCATATATATTCGCAAACAGCGGGCAATGGCTATTTAGCCATTATCAAAGCAAGAGGCCACTTGTTCTGCTCTGTGGCAATCAGGAAATGAAACCGAATCAATAACTGCCAAGTTTGGCCCGAACAAACAAACAATTGGGGAGGGGGTGGTACTAAGAGGATGTTTTTTAATGGGAAATATATAAATGCCCACTGGCTTAAGAGGGAAATGTAAAGTGGGAAATGGAAAAGCCCCAAAAGCAGACTCGAAAAAACATAGAACGCAGTTGAAATAAATCCCCTTATCATTCTTGGGACATGTGGCGCCACCCAGCGGAAAAATGTGAAAGTACAAAGTGAAAGCTTTTCATTCGAACCCTAAAAATCGACAGAACTTTCAAGAAACTGCAGCACAAATCTATTTTATAATAACATTATGTTAATCAACAGTTCATAACAGTCAATAACATATTAGAATTTGTTAATAAATAATGCAGCACTTAAACAAAAAAAAATTTATTTTTAATATGTTAAGCTCACAACTTTTAAACATTTACATTATTTTGAGTCCTTAAGAAGTGTATATTTTAAATACAAATAGTGGCATTGTAATTTCACTTATTGTATAAGCTTAGAAGTCCATATCAAAATAATATCTAAAATATCTAAAATTAGGACGCAGTAATATGTTAAAAAATATTTCTTATTGAGCTTAAAACAAGAACCAGCATTCTCAGCTGAAAAATTTAAATCATAAAATCATCAAGTAAAAACAATGCGAAAATCGTTCATAAAGATAATTGTTTTAAATTTAACCTGGAATCAATAGTTAAGTTTAGTTTAAAAAAATCTGCTTTACCGTAACGTAAATGGTCCTTTACTGCAAGGGTATAAAAATATTGATTCACGTGAATATAATAGCAACAGTTTGTTAATTTTTTTATTTTTAACTTTTTTGTGTAATCAGAAATGATTCATTGTGGAGGGCCCGAGCTTCTGGGAAAATTCGAATACCCTCCCCGAAACAAATGAAGTGGGGAGCACTTACGTGGAATTGAAGCCATCCCTCGTTTTGTGTTGGGTTGTCTAGGCAACTTTCCGAGGAACACTGGCCAAAACATTGAACTGCCTGCCGTTGCCCGTGACGACTACATGACGCAGTCAGCTGTCCACCGGTGGCAGGTAAATAAACAAGCATTTCTGTCGAACTAAAAAGAGCTGCAGCCAGAAAAAGCGTGAAGCACAAAATAGTGAAAAGATTCCCAAAAAAAAACCCGATGGACATGGCCGTGTGCTAGATGGGTTTGCTGTGCTCCAAGCTGGGCGACTGCTGTTGTTTCCAATCCGTCAGCTGTTGTCGTAGGATTTCCCCGCCTCCGATGGAGGAATTCCAGGTGCTCGTCCTTGGACCCGCGGGTAGTGGCAAAACAGAGCTGGGTCATCGTTTAAGCCGATCTCCGAGAGCTGCAGACGACCAGGAGGCCACGAATGGAGTGCGTTGCTATGGGGTTTCCGGGGAGGAGCTGCCTGCGAAACTCCAACTCACCGAAGTGGGTGGGAATATGGAGATGCAGCGCCTGTGGAAGCACTACTACGCCTCCTCGCACGCCCTGATATATTGCTTCGATCTGGGTTCGGATCCGGAGGAGCTACAGGCCACATTCTCGCTGCTAACCGACTGCCTGCAGGGCACTCAGCTGGCTGGGAAGCCGGTGCTCCTGGTGGCCTCGCGCCATCGCGAAGGAGTCCAGTTGTACGACGTGGAGTACGCCTTCGCACTGGAGGAGTTGGCCAAGTCCTGCGGATGTCCCCTGCTCATCTGCCACATGGACGAGCCCGAGGAGCTGCAGCGAGCTGTCCGATGGCTATGCCACCAGTTGATGGCCAGGAAGTCGCAGTTGGAGCAGCGCATCCGATACGATGTAAATATGCAGGTGAGGCCACACCTCTTCAGAGTTGGGAAATGTACTTCAAGTATTTACAAAACATTGAAATGTCACCAAAATTGCAAAACATCTTATGTGCTTATAGACTTTTACATGATTAAAATATCACTAAAATTACACATTACATTTTTGGCCTAGTTTTACACGATATTAAATTAATATACCCACTTAAAACCAGTTTATTTTACTAATTTAACATTGACAAATAGAAATAAAGCTTTTTTTATTGTAGGGAAATTTTATGAAATTAATAATAAAAAATTAATTACGGATTTAAGCAAATTTAAAAAAGTTTTAAATTTGGATTTAAATAGAGTGAGTAAGAGTTTACTTTATACATTACCAATTTTAAATAGTAACATAAAACATTTCTCAAGTTTTTTTAAACTTACCTCTAATTTAATTTTCTTTGATGGGTTTAAGATTAACAATCTGAAACTACAATCTAAAATATACAAAATATACTATAATTATATGACATAAAATATATAAAATATGTAACTATCTTGTGTTCATTATCTTTAATATAAATATACATATGTAAATCCGCAGGTTTGGCAACGTCGAAAGCGATCGCTTTTATCCAGCGGAAAATTGGCTCAAGTGCATAGACATCGGTTTAGACGGCAGACCAGGAAGGTGAGTGCCATACTTAAAAATACAGGAATTAATTAATATTTAATTTGGAATTCAACTTAGATAATGCCTGCAATCCAAGGATTCGGGGATACAAGGATGCGTCCCAGTACAGCTCCTCCAAACATTTTTTTTGTGAATTCGCAGCAGGAGGAGAGTCACACATTTTAGCAAAAAGTGATCGAGAGCGCATTTACGGTGCCAAAAACCAATATAGTGTTTACCAGAGGCTACTTTTGCCATTTTTAGCCTTTAAGCCATTAATTAAGTTTAATAACTGTGACAAAGCAAAGTTTAATTAAATATAAAATCATTTTTTTAACAGTTAACTTTTCAAATTTGTTTCTCTTATAAAACAATGGATATCAGAACTATGATCTTAAAATAAATCTAGGCAGACAAATTGTTTCCATATTAAAATTCTTAGATAGTGACAAAAATATATCTAAAATTGATGTGATTCGTTTTCATAAAATGGTTTCTCATATTTTATGTATTCAGTCTTTTTTTGTACCCTTTAATATTTTCTAAGTATATCCCTTTGCTGAATTGTTACCCTATTATGTTAAGCTAACAAACAAATTTATAAGATTTCTTTTGGAACTTGTTTTATTTATTTTTTTAACCAATTCGAAGTGGCTCTGTTTTTTGGATCTGGCTGTAATTTACGTCATCATAACTAGAACTGACACTCGCAATTTGCACATCCATGTGAAATACAAAACTCTCAATCGCAATGACAGAAATAAACAATAGTTGTGAATTCCATTGAGCAGCAGCAGTGCAACATAAATTCAAGTTGGACACATTTCATTGGATAATGCAAAATAACTACAGGGAGAAATGTGTGTATTTGTTTGCACAGTTTGCCTGTCAATTCGCATCGAACAAAAGTTAATCAATTGGCCTGGTAAGCGGAGTATTATGCATTTCGCACAATTTATGACGAGCCCTCTGGTCGCCTTTGTTCGTTGTCAGCTCTAATTAACAATTACAAATTGACCCAAGTGGCCAGGATTTGGAGTCTGCAATTGTGTGGTGTTTTAAATTACATTTCTTAAAGGCCCCGACTAAGCACAGTGGCGGTCATACTAATAGCACTAAGGACATCTAGGTAGTTCACTTTTACTATTTAACAACTTCACAAAAATTATATTTTAGAGTGTGGTTAAAACTAAGACATAAACTAATTTAATTTCGGTCAAAATTACCTATTAATTTTTGGAAATAGTTTTTCTTTCTTAACTCGATTCATAGATTAGGTGTTTTGCTTAAGGCTTAAATGGATGCTAAAACGTTTATGCTTTCAGATGGACAAAAAGTAAATCTTCTCGAATTATTTGTGCCATTATTTAGACCGCAGCTGTGCAAAAAGTAAGTATGCAAAAAGGTATCGCTTTCGAACAGATTCTGGCCAGACATCCTGATGGGATATGGACGTGGACGTGGACGTGGATGTGGATGTGGATGAGGAGTGGTGGTGGGTTGAATGTCAGCCAGTCGATGATGTATTGCCAAACACCAATAAGCAAACCACAAGGAGGAGCATCGCACACAAACACACTGGGAATCCAGGAGGCGGGTGAAATCAAACAATTACTAATACACTGACATCGATTCCCAGCCGCCGAGGGGGACGCAGGATGCAGGATGCAGGACTCAGGACTCGGGACTCAGGCTGATGGGTCGGAGAGATGGTGACATTGATGATTGCGGCTCGTGGGCGTCTGGAGACGCCGGAACGTGTGCTCGTAATAATCCCCCGGCGAACAGTCCCGGTTGAAACTATAGCACTTTAAGATCGGAAATTAACCTATTAGATAAGGATGAATTAAGCCCATGGATCTTCACATTTTAGATCTTTGGCATGAGAACCTTAAAATTAGCTCCATGTTTTCAAAGATTAATAATTTACACATAATAAAAACATTATATCTTTCTTTCTTAAATGGCAAAGCCATACCCAATTTTTGAATTGCCATATTCAGCACACCAGATCGAATAAAACTCCTTGCTCTTATTCCTGTTTTTTTTTTGCCATGATGAAATTAATTTTAATTAATGTTTTAGAGAGACTTGGAATCAGCAGTCAAACAAATAATTTTTTTTAAATAGATACCAGATTCACGTTTTTTCATTCCCTTTTTTCTATTGATCATAAAGTTTTCGAGAATATACTTTCTATGGATTAATTCGCAAGTCATTTTTGATTTTATTTGACTTACAATAAAATGTATTGACAAGAACCGATTTTTATTATACGATATTTTTGTTGTAAAACTATACGAAAGTAAACCCTATGCAGAAATATTTAAATACCTTCCTAATATTGCGACTGCTGCTGTATCACCACCCGCCGCTGCAGTTTGCCCAAACTCCCAGGATCACACACACACACACGCACACCAATGCCAACGCACATGGATAGGGACACCCATACCACCTCACCGCACCCAAACACCCAAACAAACATGTGTCGCCGTGTGCTGTAGCGAAAAGTGTAAAATAAGCATCAATCATCGCTTATTCGAGTTGTCATCAATCACACACACGCTGCACACACACACACACTCGCACGGTGAAGGATACGCTGCGGTGACACCAACAACAACAGCAACACCAAAAACAAGAACAACTGAAAGGAGAGCCCACCGTTATCCTGGGTGGTTAGTTTTCGAGGCAGAAGCATACGGATCTGCAAATTTGCAACCCCCACACCACCAGTGATGGTAATATCCTTGCCTCCAATAGCTAGGTATTTATTTAAACCCTTTTTCACCAGGATCTAAACTCTATAAAATGGCAATGACTGATACTTAGATGAGGGATAAATATTTATTTATTCTTGATCTAGGCCCTTAATATAGTTAATACAGTTATTTATAGGATATTTTAATAAATTTTTGAATATAATTTAAAACTCCCAAAATAGGAAAATAAAAAGTGCAGCGTTATGGGGATCTACACAAATTTAAAGGTCAGTTTAGCATTTTTTTATAATAGTAAGTGATGATACTAAAGTTAAGAATTTTTAAAAGTCCCTTTCCCAAATAATAAATAATGAAGAATTTCAGAAAATTGAAAAGATTTTAGTTTTATTATTTATTTTGGGCAATCGCAACCGCAAAAAAAAAATATAAATAAATTGTGTACATTTGTATCTATATTTTCGGAATATTTAAAGTCATATAACTATTAGTTTACGTAGCCAAAATAAAAAAAAACCACACCCTTCCCAGCACTGTTCACCAGCAGCAGCCGTTCGCATTATCCTTCCGGTCATTGTCCTCCGAGGGGCATTCCTAATCCGTTCGCCGGGCGAGTTATTAAATCATCAGGTTGCACGATCGCGCCTGTCACATGTCTGTCAACAGTCAACCACGGCGCTCGAAAGTGCGTAACCAAATATCCAAATACCCGAATACCCGAATATCCGAATATCGGAGGACAACCCTCATCAAGGGTTATTCTCAACTGCTGCGTGCGCCAAGGCGTAAAATAAAGATTTAATCGGCATTTATGGACATTTTGCAGACTTTTTACGATTATGCCCTCGTACTCGTATGACGGCAGGCCAACGAGTTGTCAAACAAGCCCAAAAGGAGTTACCCTTGAGGGGGGGTGAACATCGATAAGCGCGGAGTGGATTGCCCAAGGAGCAAATTAATCTCCAGGACTTGTCCCAAACTTGTTCATCATCAACTCGATAGCTGTCAGCACTCCACGGACGATGGGCGATTGGAGATTGGAGTTTGAAGAGGGCGGAGGACGCACTGCGAAATAAATCGCTTTAAAATATACTTTTAAATGTTTCAATAGGTATTCAAAATAATAATATGTTGAGTTAATGATCTGTAAATCATTGATTTTTACGCATTTTAATTGTCTTGAATTTGCCTAATTTTACTCATAATATTCCAGTTAAGTTAAGGCTATACAATATATAAGGTCCGTGCAATGAAAATTAAAGCATTGTTTAAAATTCCATTTCACTTTCTTAAAAATACTGATTTTAATGCCATTGATATTCATTATTAAATAAAGTATCATTTGTAAGAAAAATGATCTCTTAAAAGAGCATTATATATAAGAACATTGCCGACTAATATCACAAGTAATAAACTTGGTTTTAAGAAGAGTTTAATCCACACTTAAATCACCTTATTTAAAATATAATTCCTTTCGCTCAGTGCAGCAGGGAGTCCTGGTCAGCGGAAAAACAATTGCCCCGGTCAATGGCAGCGGGTTTCAATTTAATTTCGGGGCAACAATGGTGTTATGCTAAAACGGATCCGGCTCTAATGTTTTTACGCAACCACCCCGCCGGCGGCCAAACTCCAGCCCTCGTATATAATCGAATAAAGTCACGCCGCTTTAACATTTGCGGTCAACACGTGAGGCTGTGGACAATTGGACGTGTGGACAGGTGGACAGATGGACAGATGGACAAGTGGGCTTTTGGGCATTTGGGGAGATGGACAGGTAAACCAGTGGGCGACCCGATATGCGATATACGATATACGCCACGCTCATTGTGTGTGCGCCAAACAAAGTTGCGGCAAAAAGGCTGCAGGACATGTGCACGAAATTAATTTTCAGGGCAGCCGGATGAAGGACGCGAAGGATAGGAGCAGGAGCAGGAGCAGGAGCTGCGACGACGTCGCTCTTTTTAATCCAACATGATATCGCCCACAAAATGCAAAGCGGCCGAGGTCGCCCACGGTACAGTACGACTTCCGTAAGCCAACTCAGCCCAAGAACCGATTTTGTTGCAACTTAGTCTAATGCGTGCTGTTTTCAAGACTCGAAATAAGTTCATCTTCAATTTCAGCCCATCTTCTTATGTTACAGTTTCACAGAAATGTCAACCAGATTAGTTAAACAAACAAACTAATATTAATGTTATTTAACATGATTCTGAAACTTCGAATTTGACAAACAGTTTATTCATAATATAAACCAAGCTTCTAACATTTTCACAGAAATGTCAACGAGTTTTGATATAATACCACTTAATGTCAATTAATTTACATTATATA